TAACCTGTCTGTCTTTGAGCCAGCAACCTTGCTGTGTTACAATTCTTTATCTTACAATAGACTATATAGCCCGAGGAAAATTTCCTGTCCTTTGCATGGTCAATATTTGAAACTGCAAGACTTTGGAAAACCAGGCCCTGTGAAGTACATTTGCTTTATGCATACTCCACACAGAAATATTTATATTTTAGTAGCAGAGAAGGATAATAAACAAATACATAAATTTAAAAAAAGTAGGGAGGAATATAGAGAATGCTGGGTCTAGGCAGTGGTGATAATGGAGGTTGCAGTTTTAAACAGGGTGGTCAGGGAAAGGAAGCATTTGAGCAAAGACCTGAAGAGTCAGCTGGAAAGATATATAAGGGAAAAATACAAGTAGGGAGAAAGGATAAAGTGTAATCAGCTCAAAGGTTTTGGGGTGGGGGCATATCTAGTTCATTCAAGGAACTAATGGGAATTGTGAGAGAGGAAGAGTGATGGTTAATGAAGTCATAGAAGTAAGGTAGTGGAGGAGTGGGGGAGGGATGCTTGTGAGAGTTGGGAGGATGCCAGATTGTTTAGGATTTTATAAACCATTGTGTGGATTTTGGCTTTTACTCTGAATTGGGAAGCCATTAATAGATTTTGAGGACAGGGCGATATAATCTGACTTAAGGTTTTAAACTTACTCTGGCTGCTTTAAAAACAGATTGAGAGAGAGAGACCAGTTAGGATGCTATTGAACAGTTGAGGTGAGAGGTGATCATGGTGTGGCTGAGAATAGTTGCAATGGAGGTGATGAGAAAGGGTCAGATTCTGGATATATTTTAAAGGTAGAGCCAATGTTTTCCGACTGATTAGATGTGAGTTATAAGGGAGAGAGTTAAAGATGACTTTAAAGATTTTGGCCTGGAGCAGTTGGAAGGATGGGATAGCCATCAAATGATATTGGGAAGATTGGATGGAGCAAGCTTGGGTGAGGTAGAAGAAGATCAGGAGTTCAGTTTGAGTTTTTAGCTACCTTTTAGACATCGAAGGGAGATACGGAGTAGGCAAATTGGATATGTGAATGTGGAGTTCAGAAGAAAAGTCCATGTTGGATATATAAATTTAGGAGGGGTCAGCACAGAGATGGCATTTAAAGCCACAGGACTGGATGAGATCACCTGAGGAATTAGAGTAGCTAGAGAAGAGGGTTCCAAAGGTCGAAAGCATTCTTTTGTTACGGTCAGGGAGATGGGAAAAGAACCAGCAAAAGGTGACCATAAAGGGATCGCCATAGGTGCAGGAGAGAAGCTGTATAAATGTAACACCTTCAACTTCAAGTGGGGGAAGAATTTCAAGGAAGAGAGAGTGATCAACCATGACAGATGCACCTGATTGGTCAAATGAACTAGGACTGAGATTAAACTAATGTTCAAGTTACACTTACCAAATTTGGAATGTTTTCAGCCATTAGTTTTTGAAATAATTTTTTGGCCCCAATTTCTTTTTTTCTTCTCTCCTTCTTGAACTTTAATTATTTTTATATATATATATTGAGATTTGTTATCACATTATCTCAATGTTCCTTATATTATTTTTTAATCCCTTACTGATTAATTTCAATTAATTTACTTTTTCCAAAACAAAAATCTTTTTCCTTAAAAATTTCCTTAAAGATAAAAAAATGTATACCTATTATCATAAAGTCAAATTTTTATGGGGTTTAAAACAGTATGACAACAGTAAAAAAAAATTAATTTAGTGCCCTCCCTTTTAAAACTATCAGTTTACTTAAGAAAGATTTTAATAAAATAATTCAAATGCTTTATTGCTGTTTCTGTACTTAGATTTACAAAGAACTGTTCATGAATCCATGTCTTTATCAAGTCCAAGTGTCTAAGAGAGGTTTGAGCTTGTTGTCTCTGGTTACATTTTCCCTGAAAGCATTGGTGGCAGATTCTTTAAAGCTTGAAAGCCCAAATGACATATATTTAATTGAGTGTCTTTTCCAAAATAGCTCAGTTTCATCTACTTGTGAAACTGTTGAAGCGGTTAAACTTCCTGCTTGATGATGTCTGCTGTTGCTGAAGGAAACTCTTTTGTTGTCAACTCAGTGTTTCTGAACCCTGGCTGCACATTAGAATTACCTTGGGAATTAAAAAAAATACTGATGCCTGTCACTCAAGATTTGATTTAATTGGTATGTGGTGGGGCTTCGGCATTGGCATTCTTTTTAAAGCTTCTGCGTGGTTCTTGTGTGCAGCACGGATTGAATAGCACTGAGTTGTGGTATCACAGTAGCTGATTTGTGATTCACTTTCAATTTGCAGATTCAAACAGGTCTTGAACGGATGCGCTCATNTATATATATATATATATATAAAGGCAAGGATGAAAACACCCGTATAAATATTATATATATATTTATATATAATCTATCTATATATGTTTTTGTATGTATTTACACATATTTTTTGTATATTTTAGACCTTTTGATATTATACCATAGGTTGTTGAGGCTCTGTTCTTTTTTTATAGTGCTTCATTTGCAATGCCAGTAGAAACATTTATTTGACATCATTATAAATAGCTGAATAGTATTCCATTCTTTGCATATACCAGAATTTGCTTCACTGTTTCCCACTGGTTATATTTAATTATAAGCTACGCTACAATGCATAGCCTTGTCTATACATTTTCTCAAATGTCTCCTATATTCTTATTTTCTTAAAGACAGATTCCCTAAGGTACAGTTATTGGGTCAGAGAATATGAATATTTTAAAATGTATTTGCTATTGCTCTTGATGTTATGAGATAGAGGAATAAATCACTGGAAGAAAATCATTTTAATCCTCCCTATGTTGCTTCAGTTTAATTGTGTGTTCTTAATACTAGTTACAGTTACTAAAAAACTGAACAGGATTAATTATTGGATGCATTGGACAAAGAAGGATGGATGTAGCAGAAGAGAAGACAATTAGATTCATCCAAGATTGATGTTTTTTCCACTTTTCATGGAAAGTGCACAGGGCCAGAGAGTTTAAAATATAGGCAGAGGATTGGCCAAATTATTTACCATGGGCTAAAGAGAAAAAGAAATAAAAGCAACAGAGGAATATTTGGGAAAAAGTGAAAGGGTTCTGTGTCCATATTCATATTAGGTCTTATTTATTTTTGGTCTCATATATATATATATATATTTTTTACTTTGAAATAATTATTCACAGGAAATTGCAAAGATAGTTTACAGAGGTCCTGCATGCCTTTCACCCAGTATCCCTAGTGGTTACATATTACATAATTATAGTACAATATCAAAACCAAGAATTTGACAATGGAATGATGTGTATGTATAGTTCTGTGACAGCTCTCATATTTTTAAGTGATAATTCTGTATTTTTAAAATGGTAATTATCAACATATGGAAAGCTTTGTTTCAACATTCTTTATTCTGTTACTTTATTTTCTTCATAGCATTTCATTGTTTGAAATTAGTATTTTTATTTGTGTGCTTTCATATTAATTCATTTGTTTTTTCTCTTTATTAAGTCTTTCTACATTTCTCAGTTTATTTTGAAATTTCTTGAATTTTGTAACATGCTGATCACACCTTTAACCAAGATTTCAATGCTAATAGTGGCCTTATCTTTTTTCATTTAAAAAATTTTCAGATATTTAAGTAGAGATTAGGGAGGAAGAAAGTAGAATGTTGAGATTTGTTATCACATTATCTCAATGTTCCTTATATTATTTTTTAATCCCTTACTGAT